TTTCTGCATCTAAATTGATTTCCTGCTTATACTCTTCTACAGCTTGTGGTTCAGAAAACATACATATTATAGTCTTGCAGAAGTGTTCTCCGGAGCTGTCATCCATGCTTTCAAAACTATTCAACAAGTCCTTATCAGAGTCTTGTTTTCCAGCCTGCTGGAAAGCAGCATCTGTTATCCCTATTTTTAAAAAAATCTGGAGAGCAATCTGATTTGTCTAACTACCGTCCAAATAGTCTAACTACCGTCCAAATAGTCTAACTACCGTCCAAATAGTCTTCTTTCTATCATAAGCAAGATTTTTAAATTTTTAAATAACAAAAACTTGATCTTTTATCTTGAATCTCATAACTTATTTTGTGATCATCAATATGAATTTCGATCTTCTCGTTCTACAGCTTATTTGCTAACAGTAAAACCGATAGGTTTTATCGTGCATTAGATAGAGGTAGAGAGGTTAAGGCTATCGCTCTTGACATTTCTAAAGCGTTTGATAAAGTTTGGCATGTTGTTCCTCTCCATAAGCTTTCTTCTTACGGTGTATCTGGTAACATCTCTAAGATTTCTGTATCTTTTTTTAAAAATCGTAGTATAAAAGTTGTCCTCGATGGACAGCACTCTTTTTCCTATCCTGTAACTTCATGGGTTCTTCAAGGTTCTGACCTTGGCCCTATACTCTTTTTAGTTTAGATTAACGATCTTCCGGATATTCTCACATCTAAAGTGCCATTGTTTGCTGATGATACTACCATTAATTTTTGTCATGATAAGAAGCCAACACTCTCAGATTGCTTAATAAATCCAATTATTTTCAGCTAATCAATATCGCAACAATGTAGATCATCCTATATTTATGAACGGTAATGTACTCAATGAGTCATATACCTTCATCTTCTAGGATTAAACCGTCTTTGTATGGAATGTTTTTGCCAAAAAAAAAACTTCATTTTACCCTGTCGAAAATATTTGTTAATGGTTCAATAATTTTTTTTAAGTTAAAAAAACATTATTATCTTCAAAAAAAGAATTAATAAACCATTAACAAAAATTTACTATTGGAAAAAATGCAGTTTTTTTTAGTTTTCCGAAAAGTTTTAGACTTCGGCTCTTTTAATATTCACCGATTCAATAGTGGTTGCTTGATGCCTTGTTGGAAGCGTTGGTGTTAAAAAAATAAAAGATAAATTAAAAAAAATTCACAAAATGTTAAAAAAATGTTGCATTCAAAAATATTAAAAAAGTAGTTGAAGTTTCTTCAACTTTCATATGAAGTAGAATTAGTTTATGCATCTTAAGTCTAATCCAAAAGGCATACACTTACACATTTGCAGCAAACAACGAGTACATTTTTTAAAGCAAATTCGCAGCCTAGAAACAATAAACAGCTTAACAACTACAAAAAAAGACGGAATTTGCGCAATATTAAATAAATATTTCTAGATATTGTTTGCAGTTGAACGAGAAAACTCTATCACACTTTTTGATATACGCAGACAAGACATATCCCAGCTAGCAAACCTTACATTGGGCCAACGTATGTAAAACCATCGCGAACGTCGGCTCTTTTTTCCGATGCAATACCAACGTTGATTCAATGTCATTTGGCAAATTTACACTGGTCCAATGTATGTAAAAACATCGCAAAAGTTGATTGTTTTTACGATCTAAACCCAATGTTGATCCAATGTATATATTTCGACGTTGATTAAATGTATATAAATCAACATTTTTCCAATGTATGAAAAAACATCGAAAAAATTTGATTGTTTTTACGATCTAAACCCAACGTTGATCCAATGTATATATCTCGACATTGATTCAATGTATATAAATCAACGTTGATCTAATGTATGTAAATACATCGCAAAAAGTTGATTGCTTTTACGAACTAAACCCAACGTTGATTCAATGTATGCAACCAAACATTGCTATTGCAAAATTGTATAACTTAAATAAAATCTTCGGAGATTATTAAAATATCAAACCACAATCAACACAAACTCAATCACTGATCATTGCTTGATCATTGGAACAAAAAGATTTTTGTTCCAATGATCAAGCGTTATCAATCTTATGCATGTATATATATTGCTTACGTCAGCTGTATTTATACACACATACACACATCCATACATACATAGATCCATACATACATACATACATACATACATACATAGTTCCATACATACATACATACATACATACATACATACATACATACATACATACATACATACATACATACATACATACATACATACATACATACATACATACATACATACATACATATATATATATATATATATATATATATATATATATATATATATATATATATATATATATATATATATATATATATGTATATATATATATATATATATATATATATATATATATATATATATATATATATATATATATATATATATATATATATATATATATGTTTTGCCAATTAAAGTTCAACGTTGAATCAACGTTAATACAACGTTGGAACAACGTAGAAAATAAAACGTTGTATCAACGTAAAAAATATAACCATTTTCCGACTTTATTAAAACGTTTTGTCAACATTGGTTTTTAGTTGTTGGCGACGTCGCATTTGTAACCATAATGATATAAAAATAACGTTGGCAGCCGATGTTGAGCCAACGAAACGCGCGGCATTATTCTAATGTTTTAACAACGTATGCGTGCTAGCTGGGATGTCAGCTTCATGAAAACAGCATTCATGAGCATTCATGATTCATGAGTAAAAAAAAAAATTTTAAAATTTTGAAACAAAGCCATGGGTAACGACAAAATACATTCACGTTTTCTTAAAAAGTGTGCAACATCTCTTACAATCCCAATCACATTTATCTACAAGAAATCTTTATCCAAAATCTAATTCTTAAAAAAGGGAGTAAACTTTAGCCATCAAATTACAGACCTATATCAATAACATCTATAGTTTGCAAAGTCAAGGAAAGTCTCATTCATGATCATATAATGAAATTTTTTGCAAAACAAAACCTTTTATCCAAAGATCAACATGGTTTTGCTCCTCAGCGAGGATGATCTGGAATCATTTGGCATACTAACACAAGGTATGCACCTAGGGTTTTCCGTAGATGTTAACTATACCGACTTTGTTAAAGCATTTTACAAAGTTCTACACAGACGCTTCTTACACAAACTGCGAGCTTATTGCATTAGTGGCACCCTTGCTAAAATGAATTGAGTAATGGTTAACTGGTTGGTTACACAAGGTAGTATTAGACGGATTAACATCTAAGTGGGTCCCTTTGATTAGCAGTGTGCCACAGGGTTTGATTCATGGTTCACTAATTTTTGTCTTACTCATTAATGATTTGCCAGATACCTTTGTACACCATTTAAAACTTTATGCCGATGATGGTAAAATTATCGGCGTCATCAATTCGCTGCAAGATGCCACCCTTTATTAAGTTGACATATATAAAATAGTTGACTGGTCGCACCAGTGGCTAATGCCTTTAACAACCATAAATGCAGAGTTATGCATGTTAAACGCATTAACTAGTCAACACACTCATACACAATGCAGAGGCGGGTTTTATCACTCGCCAAGGAGGGGGCTAAAAAGGTTTTAAAAAAAAAAAAAGGTCCGCAAATAAATTTTTTGTACTTTAGTGTAATAATCAAGTTCATATACGTATAATAATAATAATAATAATAATAATAATAATAATATATATATATATATATATATATATATATATATATATATATATATATATATATATATATATATATATATACATATACATATATATATATATATATCAAACATTAATAATTATAAGTTAATATATATTTCAAACATCAAAAGATGCAGGATCCGCCCCTGAGTTGAAAAGTTTTGTATTTGATATAAATAAAGTTAAACTCGTATAATTCTAGTAATAATTCGTTATAATTCTTGAAATGATACGTGTAATAAATAAAATCAGACAATAAAAGATCCTCAAAGGGTTTATGTAAATAAAGGGTTATACCAAAATATGCTCTCTAGGAGTAAATTATAGAAGTTCAATCCTTAATATTAAACTCTTATGGAGGATGGTAAAAAATGGAAAAAAAAAAAGATTTTTTTTTTTTTAATTTTATTAGAAAAAATTGTTATTTTTTAAAAGCAAGTAATTTTTGTTCATTGTTTACATTAAAAACCTGCTTAAAACAATAAAATTGTCATCTTTTGTTAATATTTGTTTATAGCAACATACATAGCAACCACAACATGTTGTCGATTTCATCTTTTTGTCTACTATAAAAATCTAAATAATCGATCTGTGCTTTTTAAAATATATTTACTATGTTTTAAATTATTCAATTTTTATGTATTTCTATTGTTATATTCGTAGTATTAATCGTAATAATAGTAGAATGCTCAATGAACATCTTTACCTATATATTATTTCTTTTGAATTTTTCTTTATTCTTTATTTTTTCGAATGTAATCTTAAAACAACGATTTTTCAAAATTTTCAGGAGTTGTTTATTATACTTTAAAGTAGTGCCTGAAGAAGGATCTTCAACAGAAATATTTTTTTTATCGAAAAATTCAAAAAAAAAAAAAAAAAAAAAAAGAAAATCCAGCTTCAGGCCTTTTATTAATGTGTTGTCTCTAATTTAAAAAAATTATGGCTTGACGCGAGTATTTTTCAAGCATATTTTGTTTTGTTTAAGAAAAAAGTTTTTTTTTTCTTACAAAGTATTTAATATATTTTATTTATTGTTAAAATAAAATATATTAAATATTTTATTTTTTTTACCATGAACTGACCAAGGACTTCGTTTGATTTAAATAATCTTTCAAATAATAGGAGTTTAAATTACAAAAGTTCAACTCTAGATATAAGTCTGAAGAGCTCGAAGGATCATTTCTCATTAACCAGAATCTTTACCGTTCTATCACGTGGTCCACACCACAACCCATAAAATGGTCGTAGTTTATCCGTTAAGTAAATAGAATTGACGGATGAAAAGTCCAAAAAAAAATGCGAAACAATTTTTTTTTAGAAAATAGTGATTTGATATTTATAGAAAATATTGATTTGATCCTCTGATAAATGTTTTACAAAATTGGATTTTATTATTTTGCGCAAGAATTGTCATAAGCTTAGATTTTCAGGCAAAAAATGAAAATAGTTAGCCTTTAATATTTGAACAAGAATAAAATGACTGAAGTTGAAAAACGTTACCAAAGTTTAGCTGAAAAACTACTGAAACCAACTAATGAGCTCTACGTTGAGGGACTACTAGTGAGTTCTCAAAAATAATAGTATTATTATTTTTAATAATAATAGTAACAATAATAATAGTAAAAATAACAATAATAGTAATAATAATAACAATAAATAATTTAATAATAACTTGTAATGTTAAAATTTATGTAATAATTTTGCTCTTCTTTTTTTAATTGTTATTATTATTATTATTGAGATTTATTATTATTAATATTATTATTATAAACATTGTTATTATATTTTTGTTGTTTCTGTTGTTATTGTTATTATTTGTATTTTATTGATGTTGTTTTTTTTATTTGTTGTTATTGTTGTTGTTGTTGTTGTTGTTGTTATTGTTGTTGTTGTTGCTGTTGTTGTTGTTTTTATTATTTATATTCTATTATTGTTACAATTGTTGTTATTCTTTTTAAAATTAATTAGCTCTTTTAATATAATTTTTTTTTTTAAAAAAGGTAGTAGCAATTTTACTTTTTACATATACTTTATATAAATAATTTTATAAATTATTTATATAAAGTATATAAATAATTTATAAAATTCATGAAATGTCAATTTGTTATTTTGAAATCAATAAAGACTTCCAAAATTTATCAAAAAGTTGTTAAAAAATTAATTCAACCTATTACAAATAGGTTGAATTAATTTTTTAAAGTAGCAAGTTACACGTCTTTGTAATCATACAAACTATTTGATAATTTTTTTCTTATAAAAAAGCAGTTTTGTTTGTTGTATGCATTTTATGAGTATTTATTTCCACTAATTAAAATCTAAGCATTTTGCTTTAACAATAATAAAAAAAAAAAACTTGACCAAATGCATAGCATTTTTATAAAAATTTCTTTATTGAGCTCCCTGCAACTAATATTTTAATGAAAAAATTATATTGTTGAATATTTTAATTATTTTCCCACAGATGATGTTTTAGGTTCTGCTTTACAACTGCCTAATATTTTTTAATGTGGACAATTTTAGCAAAGGGTACCAATTTTTTACAAAGTTCTTCTAGACTCAAAAGTTTTGGAATTCAAAAAAGTAATTTGTTACTACTATAATCCATAGAGAGATTATATTTGGCAATGTTATATTTACTAATGCAGTCCTCGGAATTAGGAAAAATGATAAAATCTTAAACTTTTAATGGTCGGCATTAGGTTGGCAAAACAAATTGAATATTGTTGATTAACTATTAAGATTAGTCATTAATTAAAAAGCTGAGAGTTTTATATGTTGATTTCTATAGACAGATATTCTTACTGCCTGTGAGTAAACAATTTGTAAAGTAGTGTTAAAGAAAATTAAAGCATACAAATACAATATTTTAAGTATACTAGAAAAATGTGTATAATGACTTTCTGCATCATAACAAAATACCTAATGTACACAGCAGTGACATAGCAACACTCAGGACAAAAATATTAATGGGGGACAAAAATATTAATGGGGCCCTAAATATATTTAAAATTGCATATAAAATTATATTAATTACACAAATTTTGTTTTCAATTTTTGTTCAAAATACAACAACATAACACAACTGTAAGCCATGCTGGAATTGTTTATTTTAAACTACTATAGAATATGAAAAGCATTTCACCGCTCAAATTTACTAACCTGAATAAATGAATAAAATTAAAAATAAAATAAAAATATTAACAAAATTTAACTTGTTAATTATTTAGAAATCTAACTATGTACTGACAAGAGATTGTAAATTGCAAATATTTTCTATATACCAATGATTCAGTATTGAAACATTTTTAAGATATGTGCTTTTCATTTATATATTGTTGTTCTTGTCACTACTGCAAATTATATAAAAAGAACCATTTTAAATGTTTATTTTTGTTTTAAGAAATATTGTTAACAACAAAAACAGGAAGTAAGGAAGTATTTTTTAGACTGAAAAAAATTCCTACTGCACACCAAAAAATACCTTCTGCGTGCAAATAATACCTTCCACTAAAAAATACCGTCTGCTGAAGGGCAGTAGGCACCAGGTTGACTAACACTGATTTAAAAGCTAGATGATGGTTTACTGATTGGGTTAGGCTTATATACATTCTTTTTAGACTCACTATTATAATATTTTTAATAGACATAATTTTTTGACGGACCTACAGGTGTATTAGGTACAATTCAATCTCCATGAAATACTAGACATTTGAAGGAACTGATAGTGATAATGGCAAGTCTCATCAGGAAAGGTGTGCAGTGGCACACCTTATAGCACCACGCATAAAATTTTTTTTTTGACAACTTGGCCACTGTTTTTTGCATATATTGATATTTTGCATATATAAAAAAATGCTCTAAAAAAACCAAATTAATTTAAAAAAAAATTAAAAATAAACAAATCATAAACTGGAAAAAGAAACTAACTAACGAATGATAAAATAAAGGATAAACTAGAGTGAATAAAAACATAAAACAATAAAAAAATTTTAATTCCAAACTCAATAAATCAAACTTTATTAATTTAAAAGTGTTTCAATTAAAAGTTTAAAGCTAATAATTTTTTCTATATTTTCTTGTTGTAGCGCATAGGTTGATTAATTGTGACATTTATTAGGCGTGACTATCATATCAGCATTGGTCATGGGTTCTAATTCTACTTTATATTTTATATTTTATTTGCTTTGTAGACATTAGAAAATATCAAAATAATAAATTTTTAAATAATTAAGTTTCGAAGTAATTAAACTTGGATTAAATAACTTTGAAACTACATTTTTTTCTAAATTCTTTGTAGTCAAACACTTTTAAATTAAAATAAAAACATTTAATGCTTTTATTTTTCCTGGTTTATTTTTTATTAATTTTATCATTTGCTAAAATTTTTATTTAGTTTATATTTCTTTTTCCAATTTATAGTTTGTTTATTTTTAGTTTAAATTTGCATTTGTTTATTCAGCGCATTTTTAAAAGGTGCTAACTTAAAACATGCGAAGTGCCATGGCCAAGTTGTCAACACAAAATACGGTGTGCATGGTCACACAAAGCGTGCACACTTTTCATTAGAAGGCTTGTGATGTTGATAATGCAAATATGATTTAAATCTTTTTTTATTACATTTGTAGGATACTGTGACATCATTGTACTATGAGTGCACATCGTCTCATATCCGGAATGAGAAAAATTTTGAAAACTTTATGAAGCGATGTTAGTTACTCTTTTCATGTTTTGATATACTTTTTTCCTTTGTGAATTTAAATGTATTTTTTTTTCAACTTTTTAGAAGCCATAATTTTAGAATTTTTTAAAAATCTAAATATTATTATTTGTTAAATGTTTTTTTTTTTTTAATATGAAGATGCTGCTGCTGCAGAGGAAATTACAAAATCTCGCATTAATATAAAAGATTTTAATGAGATAAAAGTTTTAGGTCAAGGTGCATTTGGTGAAGTTAAGCTGGTAATAATTTGTTTTGTTTTGATTAATAATTTAATTTTAATTTTTTATTATTGCAATAATTTTATTATTCTTTGGAAGATATTTGATTTATTTATAATTAATTTTTTTATTATTCATTGGAAGATATTAGATTTATTTATAATTAAAATTTTTTATTATTCATTGGAAGATATTAGATCTATTTATAATTAAATATTTTATTATCAAGGGGTGAATTAAATGATCGCGAATTGACAATTCCGTAAAAGTTTCTGGCCTTTACAAGAAACTAATAATTTAAAGACCAGAATTTTTTACGGAATTTTCAATTGGCGATCACTTAATTTGCCCCTTGATTATTTATTAGAAGATATTAGATAATAAGTTTTTTCTGTTAATTTTTAAATTAATTTTAATTTTGACTAACAAATGTCATGTTACATTACGACTAAAAATATTATTGACTCAGAAATTTAAAAAAGTTTAAAAGCGTTAATTATAAGACATATTGAATTTTTTTATTTTAGATGCGTCATAAAGATACCAAACAACTATATGCAATGAAACTTCTCAGTAAATTTGAAATGGTAAATATTTCATTTTTTCTAAAAAATTTCCTTTTATATTAAATAGCCATTACAATTTACCCACTGGTTTGGCTTAACTTCAAATTTTTAATAACTTTCATTAAACCATCCCCTCAATTTTTCTTCAAATTAATACTGTGATACCCATCAATAAAACATGATAAACGAAAAATGTAAGCTACTACACTTTTTAAACACTATAGAGTAGCTCCCTACTCTATAGTGTTTAAAAGTTATGACGTTTTAAAGTTTAACCTAAATAAAAATAAAACGCCCTGTTTTGCTTTGAATACTTATCATTCTAGTAAAAAAGTTTTTCTATTTCCAAGATATCCTTGCTTTTTCTGTGCTGTTTAACTAAATCAGGGTAGGTTATAAAGCATTTATAACCTACCCTGATTTAGTTAAACACCACAACCTTTAGAAGCGTCTAAGCAGGAAATCACTTTAGATGCAGAAGCTGGTGTGATATGAAGGTCAGACAATGGATTAACCTGTTTTTTAGCTATATCAGGTAGAACGCGACTAGTGGAATCAAGAGATATATTGATGAGAACTTAGCAAACAACTCAGCTTTAAAAACCGTAATGGAGTGATGCTCGAAGTGAGGCGTGATGAATAAAGAGAAAGGGCTTGGTTAATTTGATCATAAATAACATTGAGTGCAATCTTGAGATGAAAGAGTTTTCGCACGCTTTTCTGTGAACGCCTGTTTTAGTACTAAAATGTAGACTAAAATGTAGAATGTGTACTTTTAGCACTAAAATGTTAGATTCATGTACTTTTAGCACTAAAATGTTAGACAAAAGTACTTTTAGCACTTTTAATAAGGAGACTTTTAAAGACAATATTGTTTAAACACTGTTTTATCTCATTTTGATAAAAATGTGACTTAAGCACATTTCGAAGTACTGTTTCAAAGTAGACCCTTTAATTGAGTTTTGCAGCTTATTTTATAAATTGAATATTTTTTTTTTTCAACTTTTTTTATAGATTGAATATTTTTAAAAACAATTGATTAAATTTTTTCTTCTTTGATGCATTTATTGTCATACAATGGTAACTAATTGAGGTAATCTAAAGGGTTTCTCATAAAGTTTAAGTTTTTCATATAGTCAAGTTAGATTTTAGTTTCTTGCTTTGTTTTTGAAATTTATCTTTTGGCACCACTTTTGATTTTACTTTTTTTTTTTTTTTAATTTTTTTATGTTTTGAGATATATATAACAGTCAATTTTGAACTGATTATGTAAAATGTAGTTCATCTTTTTTAAATTTTGAACTGATTATGTAAGTTCATCTTTTTTAAATTTTGAACTGATTATGTAAGTTCATCTTTTTTTAAATCTACATAATTTCTATTATTTTTTTGCAATTATTTTTGCTTGTTTTTACTAAAAACATGACAGCTGTCATGATGGCTTAATTACTAAAACCATAATTTAACAATTAAAATGAAATTTTATTTTTGAAAATTTAATTCAGCCAATTGCACCATAAACCTTACTAAATATCTTTTTGGAAAAGTACCTAAAATGTTTTTTGTTTTTAATAGATAATAGTTTTAATAATAAATGTTAAGAGTAAATGTTGAAATAATTTGAAATTTTCAAATTTTGGCTTGAGGTCTTCAACGATCTTTGAAGTCTGGTGCTAAACCTTATTTTAAGCTACTCCTGGTGTAGAAAACCGAACAGTTAACTTACTAATTTTTTTAGATAATAGAACAACTAGGGGTCATTTATACAAAGTAATTCATAATTTTGTTTAGCTTAAAAAGTCTGAAGTTGCTTTTTTCTGGGAGGAGCGAGACATTATGGCACATGCAAATTCTGAATGGATTATGGCGGTTAGATATTTATATTTTTTGTTCTTTCTCATAAATGTTTATTGATCTTCATAAGAACTTTTCAACAAATATTTCTAATGTTTTTTATTTTTGATATTTTATTATTATACCATCTACCTTTTTTTTTTAGATTATATAACAATTTTAAAAACACCAGTTATTAAAAAATTCATTATTATTTTTAATTTTTGTTTTTTTACCTTTTTACCTATTGTTTAAATATGGTAGATATAAAAATGTAATAATAAAAAATTTTGTATTTTAATTGCAGTTTCTAGAGTGTAACCATTAAAAATTACATTATTCTTTACAGGGATCCCCAACTGCCGAGACAAGTTGTGTTCATATTAAAGAAAATGTTTAAAAAAAACATTTGGGCTAAATTTTTTTGATTAAAACTAAATAATGAATACATACCAACAAAATTAAAACTAGCATTTTAATTGAAGCTCGCCTTCTCCATTTTTTTTTGGTTCTCTGGGTCTGTATAATGTTAGCTGCAATCTGCAGACTTAATAATTTATTCCAGGTGTGTTTAATTCATAACAGTTTCAGTATATGACATCATCACAATGTCTTTTTAAGATAAGGTTTTTTTGTTGTTGTTTTTTTAAAGATATAAGTATTTTTTCTACTACAATCAGAAAATTAAATATTTGTTTAATTTTTTACTAAATCACAAAAAATATTTGTGATTTAGTAAAAATTTATACAAATATATATATATATATATATATATATATATATATATATATATATATATATATATATATATATATATATATATATATATATATATTTATATATTTATAATTATTTTTTTACTTTTTTAATTGTTTTATGTTTATTATTTATTTATGTTGTAGAAGCTAGCCAAAATCATGAAACAATTATACATAATTTGTGATTATTAGAGTTCTCAGGCAGAGAAAAAATAAAGGGAGTATGATGCAGTTTTTCATTTTATATTTAGTTTATATGGTTCAATAGAGTTGTTCGTTTTATGTTTAACTTACATTTAGTCATGGTTTAACTCTTTCACAACTGCAAGCCACTGGTAGCGGCTTTAAAGTATACTTTACAATTTATCTTGTTTAGTTCATAAATTTTCATTCTAGACACATAAAATTTGTTTGTTTTGAAGGTTTAATTAATTCTCTACATAATCAAGAAAAAATAAGAGCTATAACTGTGTAATTATAAAAAAATATCACAAAGTTAAAAAATCTTTAATAATCTTTCATAAAAAAACTTTAAATTTAATTATAAAATAAAACAACGTTAACACTCTAAAATTAACTTGTAGAAGTGTTAAGTATTTAGTTATGTAATTACCAAAGTATTTTGAAGAAAAAATATTATTTTTATTCCTTAAATGAGGTTTGTTTTGGACTTAATGTTTTATTATTACTTACAAAAACGATAGTTTTAAGCACTTTGCATTTCTTATTGTTTAATGAAACGTGTTAAAAACTTTATTATTATCGAATTTTAATTAATTGTCAATGCTATGCTATTCAAATGTTATTCAAAAAAATGTGCGGTTGCTACAAAAAGATTTTTGTTAAAAGATTTTTGTTTGGCTGCTAGCAAACAATTTAATATTAATTTAAACAGTTATTAGTAAAATAAGTTGTTTAATATTTATTTTCTACTTAGTTCAATTTATATGTTTTATTCAAGTTACTCGTTTTTTTTTTCAGTTTATACTTTAAATTAATTTATACGCTTTAGTAAAATTATTCTTTTAGTATCTAGTTTATATTTAGTTTAAACCAGTACGTTTTACTGTAAATATTCGTTATATATTAAATTTTTATTTTTATAAATTTAATTTTTAATTGCATCATAAACTTTTTTCAGATTTAGTAAAAAGTTATACAATTAACATGATTTGGTGATTTTGGCAAAAAAATAATACAACATCTTGAAAGAAAAAAATTATATGATGATGTCATATACTGAAACTGTTATGAATTAACACGCATGGAATAAATTATCAAGTCTGCAGATTGCAGCTAACATTATACAGACTCTGAGAACCAAAAAAAATGGAGGCGGCGAGCTTTGACTGAAACGTGAATTTTAAATTTAATGGTGTGCATTCATTATAAAGTTTTAATCAAAAATATTTAGCCTAAATGTTTTTTTTTTTAAATTTTCTTTAATATGAACACAACTTGTTTCGGCAGTTGGGGATCCCTTTTAATGTATTTATATAAATGTACATTTATATATATACATATATATATATATATATATATATATATATATATATATATATATATATATATATATATATATATATATATATATATATATATATATATATATATATATATATATATATATATATATATATATATTTATATATATACATATATATATATATATGTATATATATACATATATATATATATATATATATATATATATATATATATATATATATATATATATATATATATATATATATATATATATATATATACTCATGTAGAAATGGATATATGTATATAGATATATATACAGGCTTGGTCGGGAAGCGGGTGCGATCGTACTCGGAAACTAACCACGGAAATAATATTTAGTTGCGAAAAACCGGCCAGATTTTTTAGTCGTTTTGAAAACATTTAATTTATTAATGTATGTTTCCTTGTTTGTCCGCAAAATAATAATTAAGTTCATTATTTTATCGTAAATTTTAAAATATTTTGTTTTACGGACATATATGTAAACATACATAAACTCGAATTTTCTCAAACATCTTTGTGCGGAAAAATAAAAAAACAATATTCACGAACACAAAAAACCCACCAAATCTACAAACAACTAATTCTATTGGTTTAATAAATACTAACCGAAATTTCTAGAGTATTCAAAAAATACTAACCGAATGTTTTAGAGTATCCTGTTGAAATATCTAAAAAAATTGTATTATTTGAGTTTTGTTATGTTTTTCGTTGAGATTTCTAGCATAAATTGTTGGCGGACCTGTAAACGCTGCATCCAAAACTCGGTGAAGTTTGTAAGTTCTCAGTATGATAATTCTTGGTGTTCGCATTTTGGTATTTTACAGAATGGGTGCTAAAATATTACATATATAAACGCAATAATGGTAACGTTGAAAGTAATAAAACAAAAAGTTTGCGTAAATGCATTTTATTAAAAATTTAACATTTTACAAAAAAATTTAAAATTTTACAAATTATCAACATATCTAATATTAGATTAAATAGATCTTCTAAAGGTATCTTCTTTTCTTTACATATCTTTTTGTGGCTTATCTTCTTTTAATCGATCTTCTACAGGTATCTTCATGTAGCTTATCTTTACATATCTTTTTGTGGCTTATCTTCTTATAGATTTTGCAAGTAAATTTTGTGTTGTACATAAAAAAAAACAACAAGTTTAATATAAATATTATAAAACATTTTCAATGTAAAAATTATATTATAATATTTATTTTACATTTCGTTACTAAAGATACCTATTATTAATATGAAATTTTTCCAAACATTTTTATTATAAAACTCATAATATTCTCTGTATACAGCTTTGTCTAGCCTAGACCACTTTAAATAACTCTGTGATCCAAAACCATACTTTAACCATCATTTCATGGTTTAACATGATTTGTTGTCGCTCTAGTGTCAGTATCGACAAAGTTTATTGTATGGTTTGCAGTGAAATGATTGTAACCTAAGTTATTTAAATTAGCGTGCAACCCATTGTTAAATTATTGACAGATGCAGCGGCTACAGGAACCCATAGAACACATAAAAATATTAATTGAATTATCAGACTTACACTTAAAGATGTGGAGCTTTCAAAAAGTCCTGCTCAAATTGACTTCGTCTTTTGCAAGTGTTGCATCGCCAAATATGTTTTTTCTTAAATAAAAAAAAGTATATACAGACCATACAAGTTTATTTATACAGTAGTTTTAAGATACAAAGGATAATCTGTTCTGTGTAAATAATAATAAAAATGTTAAGAAAATTGACAGCGCTCATACTTTTGCACAACAAAGATTTTGAAGTGACATTAGTCTTTTTTCTTGCAAAAAATCAACCAATTTTTCTTCTTTGATACTTTCAATGAAATCACCTAAAGGTGTCATCTTACTTATTTTGAAGGCGGTAAAAATGGGCTAAGAAGGGGAGACTTAAAAACTTTAATGTTAAATAATAATTCATTAATATTAGCCAATCATAAAATGACAAAGTTATGGTTTCGAACTTTATCGAATTTGTTTACAAACTTCACTGAGTTTTGGGGTGCACCGTGTACAGGTCCGCCAAATTGTTTTAAGAATATCAAACGAACTATTATTTTAATTCTCGTAGCCACATCTACAAAGCTAAAAATGTTTAAAACAAACCTTATTTGTTTACAAAAACAAATATTTTAAATTTATATTTTTTAACTTGTCAACGTTTTGTAAATAAATTATAGATTTTATTAGTATATTCTTATTTTTCATATATAAAAGGTATGCGATTACACGTCTTTGTATAATCATTTGAATAATACTTTGTTTTGACGATTTGACCACAGCTTTTTACATATCAAAAATGCGCTGAATAAAAATGATTTTTTCATTAAGCGTTAAAGTAAACAACATCAAAAATTTATTCTTTTACGTTTTTATGTTAGTGAAACCTTTTAAAATAAAGTACTAAGTATTTAATTTTTGTTTGGAGTTTCAATAAAAGTTATACATAGTTTTTTTTATAATGTTGTATAATTATAATGTTATATAAATCATATAAGTATGCATTTTTTATAATAAACAATATTAAAAAAAAAAAAAACTTTTTTTGATTTTATAAACAACTTTTTTTAGAGTTAGTTTTATGAATGAATGTTATTCAAGGATCTTAAAGTTAATACACTTAAAAAGATAACAAATTTCATTGAAAAAAATATGAATTAATGAATATGAATTTTTTATCTTTAAAAAAATTTCTATTAATTTCATTTTTAAAGTAGTTGAC